ACCGGGTCTCACTCTGGCTCAGGCTGGTTTTGAACTCCTAACCTCCAGCAATCCTCCCTCCTCTGCCTCTCAGAGTGCTAAGATTACAGGCGTGAGCCACTGCGCCCAGCCTAAAGAGTGCTATAACATTTTAATTTGATGATAGTATTAAATATGCTGTAAATTACTTTTTTGCAGCCATTTAAATTCATTATGAAAAATTGTAGATGTCAATTTAAACGTGTGAGGGGGTACATAGTTTTAAAAAAATTATTTGGGAAGTGGTGAGCAAAATTTTTTGAAGACCACTGATCTAGGGCAGGTTTTCTCAACCTTGGTGCTATCGATGTGTTGGACTAGATAATTCATTGTTGAGGGGAGGCTGTTTTGTGCATTGTAGGATGTTTAGTAGTATCCATGGTCTCTACCTGCTAGATGCCACTAGCAGGCCCCCAGTGGTGACAACCAAAAATGTCTGCAGACATTGCCAAATGTCCCCTGGGGAGCAAAATTGGCCCCAGTTAAGAGTTATTAATCTATTGTTGGGCCATGGTTGCTGGGCAGAAAAGAGGAATTCCTCATCTAAAACATATTGATCTCCTTTTAGTCAGTAACATAGAATTTATATTAGCATTTCAGACATTTGTTGCTAACCTCAATTTTGAATTGTCTACTGAATGACTCTAGTGGAAAGCATGATCTAAGATGAAAGATTTTCAAGAGATATAATCTAAGGGACATGATATCAATTCATTCACAAAAGTCATAATTTTATCCCTATTTGGCAGATGGCCAAATAGCTACATATCAGTTGTCTGTTAACTATTGCCCTTTTTATAGACCTTAACATCATGTCCTTCCTTATATCTGAAGTTAGTATAAGAAATGGCTATGTGGAAAACCTCTATTGTTTGTAAAAGTTCTTATTGAGGGTCTTCTCTATTATATTCATTGTCCCTTGTATTATGAACCAAGCCAAGTCCTATAATAGTTTAGAGGTCAATTGGTATGCTTTCTTTTAATTGTATCACCATAGCTATGTAAAACTTTTTGTCTTAACTACTAGGAATCTCTGAATCAAATTCGTGGTTTAATTATGGTGTCTTCCCTTAGCCTAGTTTTTTGCTTTAATTATTTCTTTACTCTCCCTCTTCCCTTTATTTTATTTAAATGGTTCTCAGTTGTATGGAATCTATGCCTTTTATTATAAGTATCACCTTGTTTTAGAAATTTAAATGCTTTACATATATACATAAATAAATAAATAATAAAATTTAAGGGGTGATGTAGTTAGAACTATCAGTAACCCAACAAACAGGTGTAGAAGTCATTATAGGGTTTTTTCCAGCATCATTTTTCTTGGTGTACTATTCTGACCTAAAGGAGAACAACGATTTGTTGGAAATTTTAATTAATAAGATAATTGTAAACTAGACAGAAAATACCATCTTCCTCTCATAATCAAACTCTGGGATCCCTCTGTTTTTACTTTGATTATTATACAAAGTTCTATTTGCATTTTCTCCAAAAAAAAAAAAAATCTGTAATCATTGTTGCTAAACATAGAGATAAGGATTTGCTAAAACTAGCCTAAAAGCGTTAATAGCTCTCAGGTTGAAATGTTGACGGAAAAAAAGACCCTAACATTTATTGAATACCTACTATAAGCTGTGCCTTGTGCTCGATATTTTTATATATTTAATTACCACATTGTTCCGTGAGTACTAGGTGGTCTTAGTACTATTTTTACCCACAAAGAATCCAAGATTCTGAAAGGGGCAATGCCCGGATAGGTCATTCTCATTTCAAAGTTCTTATTCTTTGCACTATGAGGCTGTAAAGCATTTGGGACAGTGCCTGCCTGGCACATAGTAAGCTCTGTAAGTATTCCTCTTACATCATCTGGGGTGTGAGTAAAGATCAAAATTACTAAATGCTGAAATAATAATACTACATTACATCCTAGAGGGAATCAAGAAACAAATACATTTAGAATGAATAAAAAGAATCTTAATTTATTCCAGTCATTATCTACAATAGTTGAAATAAGATGAAAATACAAACTCAGGTTATGTTGAATAATTTAATAGATAAATTGCCCAATGAGTTACCAACAAAAATTTGAGAAGTATTCTTTATCTTAGAGATGAAGGGCAGTAATATCGTGCAATTCTTCCCTTGTCACCTTTGTCAGAAGAAAAGAGATTGAATTATTAATCAGATGAATTATGCATCTAATCCGGTGTGGCAATTCTTGTATTTGTGTGCTAAGAGACCACTATATCATATTATATTTATCTTGTATATAAATACCTATATATAATATAGTTTTTCCTATCAAATTAAAGCCTTGTGTCAGATGTTATATTGGGAGGTGGTTTGTTATAACATTTTCTTATGCGCTTTGCTAGTCTTAGAAAAAACAATTATATACCTTTTCTACAGAAAAAAAGTAATGGTTTATTGACTTTTTTTTCTGCCTTCAGTTCCATGTTTTCCAGCACCCAACATAACTTGCAAAGATTTCAGTGGCAATGAAACACATTTCACTGGAAGCGAAATTGGTTTTCTCAAGCCCATATCTTGCCGAAATGTGTAAGTATACTATTAAAACTTAAATTTTCATGTTACTTGCTTATGTTGTATCTTGATTCCATGAATTGAAGAGATAATTTTGGGGAAAAATCCTGCAAATATATCTTTTATCTTTTGCATGGGTCAGAAAACCTATAGTTTAAGTGTGCATATGTTTTTATAAATGCAATTCACCAATGAAATAGAGCTAAATATTAGTAGTTCACTATGTGGGATAAATAAAGACTACAAATGGCCTTATGCCATTTTAATTCAAGTTGGTCACTTTATGCCACCAAATGAATTATGAAAAAATTCTGTTTTCAAAATTTGGGAAATTTCTAGAGTATAAATAAGAATTGTGTACCTGTTATATAAG